GAAGGGCCAAATATGTGGCAGCTCATCGTAGATCAGCACTGGCTGAACCTGGTAGCAATGCTTCAGTGCAAGTTCAAGAGCTGCTGGACTTGATGTGGTGGTCTCTTTGCATTCCCTGTGGATTGGTGGTGTGATGGTGGTGATGGGGAGCAGATAATGTGCTATGGTTGAGGTAGGGCGTGTGGAGGTGCTAGGAGTCATTGTCTCTCTCACTCTGTATTGCTCACAAAAACTCCAGTTAGGTATACTCTGCAAGCAAGCAATATAACCACACTAGATGCCTAGCACATCTGGTTGAGAAGGTAGTTGAACTGAGCTGGCAGTTGGAGGATGTTCTTGAGGTTGAGTGTGCTGTGCCTGGCACTGAGGTAGCTGCTGGGGTTGAAGCAGAGCTGGCTGAGCAGGTCCTTCATGCAGTGGGCGTTGGTGCAGCACATGGGATGTCTGGTGGTCTTGAGGGAGTGGTTGTAGGCCAGTAACCATGTGATGCAGGGCGCTGCTGGGGATGTGCCATGGGAGAACTGGTACCAGTTGTTTGGCTTCTGGCTGGGCAGTGTGCTGGGCAGTGTGGTCTGCCTAGATGGAGTTGATGTTGGTGGATCCAGGTTGAAAGTATGTCCTTGCCTGGTCCAGCAGTGTTGATGTGGGTGCTGCTGATTGAGGTGAATGCAGAAGTGTGACTGTGAGTGTCAATGATGCTGGGATGGTGGCTGGGAAGTGGATGTTGCACTGGTGGTTGCTTCCTGTGTTGGCTGCAGTGGTGGTGGCTTGCAAGGGTTTGCTGATTAGTTCCCCCTGAGGCTTGAGGTTAAGGGTGAATAGTGATAGTGATGTCAGCTGGCTGGAGGCCTCCTTGGCGGCGTTGTTGAGCAGCAACCTCTGCAACAGGGCAGTGAATGGATTGGGGTTGGTCTTGTTGATGTGGCAGATCCTCTTCACTTGTGTGTGTGAGCTCCAAAATGAGGTGAGTTTGTCAGGCCTGTTGATGTGCAACTCCTTGAGCTTGGGCATGGGTGGGAGGTTGTTGGGCAAGGCTGGCAGTCACATGTGGCCAATCAAGGTGTTAGGGAAAGAGACTTTGGAGCAGACAGGCCTGTTTGACCTGGTTCATCCCATCCACCACCTCCACTCAATGGGCATGAGGGTGACAGCCTACATGGACAACCTTCATCAGCCAGACCAGGGCCAAGGTGGTACAGGCCACAAGAACCACCCAGCACATGCTGTCAGACCTGGGTTGGGTCATCAACACCAAGAAGTCCTCACTGACACCATTGCAGGTGACAGACTTCCTCAGCATCCTGGTCAACACCACAGACATGCCAATATTCCATGTACCACTAAGCAAGGCACACACACTCCACCACAACATCAAGCACCTACTCCACCTCCACAACAGCAAGGGGTAGCAATGATGAAGGCTGTCATCCCTGCCAAGCTGCTCCTCCACAACGCCCACTGTGTGATTGCCACATGGAGGAGCTGGAATTATCTTGTCCCTCACTGGCTGGGGAGTTACTTTGTTGCAACTGACCCGCCACTGGCTGGTGGTGGAAGCAGGGGAGACACATCAACCAGTACAAGATGTGAGCAGTCCTGAAAGCCCTTCAGTCATTCTGCCCTCACCTACAAGAAACAGGTGGCCTTTGCATTCAGGTGATCAGCAAAGCAGCCCACCTCCCAGCAGCCCAGCTCCACACAGATGGTGGCCAAAGCCTTGTCTTCCAGCTCCCAGTTGTCTGGGTTGACCCACCTCAATGCCTGGTCCACCTTGACATTGAGACTGCCATGGATCCACATGGCCTTATACAGGCTCACACCCACCACAGCCAGCAAGCCATGGATCTGCCACACAAGGTTGCCATTGGGCTGCTGTGAGCCTGTGAACAGCCCATGGCACAGAAATGGCATTTTCGTTAAAAGGTGACAGTGCTACCTTTTCACAAGATGAAAAAGGCGTGTACACCATCTAAGAAAGAGTGGTGTACACAGGAGAGGGAGGTAGGAAGGAGAGGTTTAAAGATGGTTATATATTTCGGTCAAGGTGGCCTGATCAAGACCTCTGTCAGGGTCAACAGTAAAGCCACAAGCAAGTACACAACCCATTGGGATGGAGCTCTCAGAGCCATGGTCATACCAGTGACCTCTTCTATATGCCCACCAATGAACCAAGAGCCAGCGGCGCTGGACAGTGATGATCTTACACACCCAGAAGTCCTCTGTAGCTTCAGTCTCATCAGGTCAAACAGCAACCCACAGTGGAGGAGCAAAGTTGAAGTTTCTGATTGAGATTGGAGCCCTGCTCTGGCTGACCCTGACTCTAGTCTGCAGGCAGAAGAGAGGACTGTCAAGCAAAGGATTGGTGCAAGGGTGTGCATGCAGGCCATGAAAGAGGGTGGTGTCTCAGTAGGGCATGAAAGAATCTATCATCTGCTGGTGAGATTCAAAGAAGTCAGCCCATTCATCCAGCTCAGCAGGGGTGAAGAGTGGGGTACGACAGTTTTCCACAAACTCAGTGATGACCTCAGGTGGAAGTGCTTGAGGTGCAACAACAAAAGGTGCAGCTGGCAGAGGGGATGAACAGGAGTGTCAGAAGAAGGCCTCTTGTTGTTGTGGGGTGAGTGTGTGTGTGTGTGTGTGTGATGAGAATGGGAACCTTGAGGAACTGAAGTGAGGAGCTGGTAAGGGCTTGACCAGTTGCCTTGGGTGTGGTACGCCTTGTCCCTGATCATGGTCTCTCCCTCTGGGTTGTGGTAGAAGTGGAAGACATGTGGGGTGGAGTGACCTGAAAGCTCATTCATGTGGTTTGTGAGCCAACTCTTCCAGTCCCACACAGTGGTCAGAGTGTGGAGCTTGGGCTGAGCAGCCTCCTCAGAGTAGGCCACATTGAGGAATGGCAGTAGGTCACTGGAATGGGCATTGGGGGGGGGTAAGGTGAGTGACAAGCAGCTCTCAGGTGGTGGTGACCATGGCAGGGATGAGTCAATACCTGGGGGTGTGGATGGTGGAGTGCTTGTACTTGGTCTGGGCAGCACTGAACATCTGGTCAATGTCCTCATGGGTGTGCCCAACCAGGAGGAAGCTCAAGAAGACATCCTGAAAGATGTCAATAGACCAAGAGGGAGAACATGAACTTGTTCTTGTTCTCTCCAGCACAGTTGTCAGCTTGGAGGTAGAGGACAGAGGGGCGCATGGATTGATCTTCATAGCTGGTAAGGCATGTGCAAATGTGGGAGAAGAGGATGGAGATGATGATGTTAGCATTCTTGGACCAGTTGCTCTGGGGATGGAGGTACAGATGTTTGCCATGACTGTGATCTATGAGGCCACCTAAGCAGTAGGTTAGTCAGTTGCATCCAAGCCTTGGGGACAGGGGAGTGAGTGGGCAGACTCAAAGGGTTGGAATAGTTGATGATGAGGCTCATGTAGGTGTTGGGTTGGGCTTTGGCTTTCTGGGCCCAGATCTTGTAGGTCAGGCACTCAGCTGCTGAGAGAGCCAGGTGAGCAGTCCTGGCTTCCTGAAACTGGGTGGCTTCAAGAGGAGATCTGGCCCTGAGCCACTGCTGTGCAAACTCCAAACAGATTGAGCACTTGCCAAGACAGGTGTTCTTGGGGAGTTTGACATGGGCAAAGTGACTAGCAACATGGCTACACATACTGGCATAGGTGAGTAGTGGTACAGTTTGTGGATGGGCCTGAGTGCACATGGTGTGAACCTGCTTCCATGTCAATGAAATGGGAAGATGGATGGTGCCATCTGGCAGCTGATCCCTGATGGTGTCAAAGAAGGTGGACAACCA